CACACACACACACACACACACACACACACACACACACACACACACACACACACAGATCCACCTTGTTTACCCATTTGAACATTCACACATTAAATATCAATAGCATTTATCTCCACTGATCAGAAAACCTTTGGATGTGCTGAGGATACAATCCTTCATGCTAACCCCCCCAGCCCCCCACCCCAAAAAGAATGAATATGGCTTTCATTTTGCAATAAATTGGAAAGGTAATTATTTGTTGCTGCATATATTTATTGCATACTTGATCATTTTGTACATATTTCAAAAGGTAAAAACTGTTTCACTCTGTGATTTCAAGTCAATGAACCTTTTAATGAATTATATTAAGACTGAAATGATTTTTATGAAAAGCCAAATTAATCTTAAATACAACTGGTTGTAAATTTGGTTCTTTGTTTAAAAACCTCTAGAACATTAAGTCACTGAATGAGTTGAGAAATTAGGACTTTCAGCTGCAGGAACTTATTAAAAGGTAAACAGAGTTTGTTTCCAGCCTTTGTGTCACAGAGTGATGTCTGTACAAGTGGGTTACTGTTATGTCAGTATTTCACTAATGTAAAGCTGTAAATGTGCCAAATAACAAGGCAATGCACCAGAGGCAATGGGAGAAGAAGAGCCCAAACAAAATAAACACACATATAAATAATTTATACTTAAAAATATCTCGATCTGTTCCTCTGCTAGTAAGAACACAGCTTTTACTGAAGATGTGTTTTGTTACTTTGTCTGGTTCACTTTAGGAGGAGGTTTCCTTTCCTGCCTCAAGTGATGACAGGTCATTTCATCTTAATAAGCAGTAGTTTTGAAATATTTAAGGCATTCTTTTCTATTTGTTTAAGATCATTAAAATGCTAAAAGAGCCTGTTAGCTGTGGGGAAATCAAGCCACCAGCCTTTAAAACAGTGGTTCCCAACCTATTTTCCTTTCATACTTCCAGGAATAGCAGAGACCCCACCCCTTCTARTAACTCGCTACGTCCCATGTGGTAAATAACATAAGAATAGTTATTGTTGTTTTTATTTGCCCACTGAAATACACACGGCAGCTGATACAAATATGTAAGCATAGATTTGACCACCATGGTAACTATAATGTAAACAAATCACGACTAAAGCTGTGCTGAATCTAAATCAGCAAATAATAAAATGTAAACCACATTTAATTTATTCCTCTATAACACTAGACTCAATAACATGTCTATATTAATCTATATTGTGCAAGAAACAAATATTAGGTTTGTGCTATKTAGTTGCAAATATAAACCCCATAGAAAACCGCTAACATAATGCTAATGTCTTCAGAAAACTCAAGCAGGAAAAATACATTTTCTTGATAGTTTACAACTGTAACAAACCMTCAGCCMTATGAGGAATCAAATTACACTTCTTATAAAAAGTTATAAYGAACTTATCACAGGATCTTCTATTTAAGGAATAAATTATGTCTACAAGAGGCCACACAATAAGATGAACGTGACTCAGCAAATTTTGTTTGATCTAATAATAAACMAGCTCATTTATACAGAGTCAAATAAATCAATAACGTACAGCTTATTGTGGACAATCAAATTTCCTATAAAGAGTTGAAATCAACAACAATTAACACG